ACAAATAACGCGCCAATTTGGACCCGACTCCTCCACACACAATTGAGCCTACATATCCCCTTAAGCAATTAAATCATAAAAGTAAAAAAAACACATACACAAAAAAAAAAAAAAACCTCACATCACACTTAAAAATGTTTAAAACTATTTGTTTACCCGAATGTCATGGGACCATAAACTAACATCGGAGAACATATGATTATTGTTATTATTGACTTGAATTGAAATTCTCAGTGGGTACTTCTCGAGTAAATATATTAGGCCAAAGAGCTTTAGCTGACCGAAAAAGTTGAGGAATCCCTGCTTTGCATGTAAATATGAAATGATGTGCATTTGTATATTTTACTGTGTTTGAAAGAAAAAAAGCATTTCAAAGACAGTAAAATATTTAAATGAACCACTAAATAATTATTCAAATAATAATCAATGTGTCTGTCAGGAGCTGGTGCAATGTTGCAATGCTGAAAAAATTAAATGATTTCTGTAAATCCAGTGATCAAATTCATGTGGGTCTCAGTTCATTTAGAGACTCGTGACTAGTGGCTGCGTGTGTGCGATTCCACAAACCTGGAAGACCTTCTTCTATTTATATATAAATAACCATCATCAGCTTTAATAAGCACATCAATTCTAAGCATGTAAGAAATCTCATTTAGTTCTTCTGAAATGCTAATGTAAATATGCCATGATGTTCCAACAGGTGCAAACTTTGCACATGAGGAAAAATGTGATAGCGTACTTGACCATCCGAGCTGCAGTAAAATGTTATGATCCCGTAATATTCTGAAACCAGTGGACTATTATACTGTCATATGGCTGGGTTATACAAGGCTGTTCACACACAGTACAGGCTCCTTCAAATGATCTAAATCAGCCATGCACTGTATGCTGCTGATTGCATAGAAATAAATGAATGTTTGTGAAAGTGTGGCTTCCATGGACTGCAGTATTGGCAACTTGACACTGGCTGTCTGTATTTGTAGTTTTTGTATGTGTGTGCATGTGTTAGCATCGCTAATAAAACCTAGTAGTATCATATTTTACACATTATGAAACTAAACCCCCCAGGCGCGGCAGAGAGTTTGTGTTTGTTGAGAGGTCACTCTGGCTTGGACGGCTTGGTATGTGTGTAGTTTAAAATTTGTTATTGACACACCCTTTAGGTCAGACTTAGGAGCAGCACATGACTGTGTCAAACTCTCACACAAAGATGGATGGAAATGTGCACACGCCTTACATGCGTAAGCAGCGATATCCTTCGCGCCACTTTTCCCTTGTGTATGTATTTTTATGTCATGCACTCACCCAAAGAAAAATGTTAATGCTTTATTACATCGCTTAAAGGAATATACAGAGTTGAGAACAAGTTGAGCTCAATTGACGGAGATTGTGGTGTAATGTTGATTACAGTCAAAACAATTTTTTTCACTTTGTCCCTCCTTTTCTTAAAAAGCAAATATCTTAGTTACAGTTGCACGTACATTGGAAGTGAATAGGCCAAATTCGTAAGCTAAAATACTCAATAGCCACTATAAACAATATTTGCATCAATATGACTTTGTGAAGAAAAAAGTTTAGTGTAAATTTCATCATGAAAATGCAATGCCATGAAATGACATAATAATTTAATTTAAACAGCTTTACAGCTCAAACAATACACACATTTTAACTTAAGAATTAATGGAAGTGCTTTTACAAAATAATCTTCATGCTTTTAAATCCTCCAAATATTTAAAGCATCATTGTAATATTTATTTTTCTACAGACTTATGACTTATTTTGGCATATTTGAGCACATTTTGAGACTTTGTTCAGATCTCTTTTGAAACTGAGACACAAATGAGATCATTAATGTTCTCAAGAGAAAAATCTGAGAAGCAGATTGTCTCCATTTGCTCTACATCCCTGCCTTTGAGAAACAATGTATATTAAAGAGAAATCAGCAAATCTCGGTTTCACTGCTATAATGTACGTCTTATTCTCTATCCTCCGTCCAAATGCTTACAGTGAAATCTCCTCAGCAGCCTCCTCGGACCCTCCTGTAAGAACAGTCAGTTCATGTATAGCCATGTATAGCCAACTCAAATTAAATCACGCCTATCCAAAAACTATTAAATAGTTCGAATTAAAATGTGAAGTGTTCTTCAGTCAGAACAGAAAGCTGTACCAAAGATAACATGAACCAAAGATTTCTTTTGTGGTATTTATGTTCATTTCAAATGTTCTAGCCTAAAAACATAAAGTAGAAGTACACTTTGCACCCTTCATCTGCCTTTCTCTCTTGGTGACGACAACAGACTCTCCGGGGATTCTCCGACTTCCCCTCCCTTGGCTGGTGTGGCCTGAACCCCCCTGACACATAACATTCTTGGACTTCTCTGACTCTATCCCTCAGTAAGGCTATCTAACCATCAGAGTGAGGTGGAGGAAAACTCGACAAACCTCACAGCTGCGACAACACACACCTCGACACCACTCAATGGGACGAAAAGAGAAAACACCCTGCTGCCTTGGATTGGGTGGGAGTGTGGATATATGTGTGTGAGTTTAATCTCTGACACCTCGTGTCACACACACGCGCAGAAAAAAACTCTCAGATAAACTCAGGATTTCTCTTGGTCAAACACATGTTTTGATAATCAATGAAAACAAGTCTGGTCAGCATAAAAAAAGAAAAAAAGAGAAAAGATTTTGGACATGGAGTTCTTGGAAGAAATAGTCTACAATGATATGGAAACATGACCATTAAGTGCCATTAAATAACAATATATGTTTTTTTTTCTTTTGATCATACATAGATGTACATGCTAAATACTGTTTTCAAGCCCTACTGTCACTAACATAAATATTAGCTACTTTAAGTCTAGTGACAATTACATTTTATTCCTGGCTGATGGAAACACTTTATTTTGTATCACACTTGCATTTTTACCACGCATGAAAAACACGGCAATGATGATTAAAACTTGTCCTTGCTCATGGCCTGTAAAAATATTATTAGTGACATGGCGACAGCCAAGGAAGGGCACCATCTCATAATCTTGGCGGCGGCAAATATAATATTTTTTTTTTTAGCCATATAACTATTTGGTCATGCTACGAGCATTAGTACAAATTTGCTGATAAATCCTCTAACTAGTTGAAAAAGACTTAATTTATCAATAAATACTTAATAAACTTAATAAATCAATGTCTGTATTTACTACCCGCTGTTCAAGAAAGGCTCTTTCAATCGATTCTTTGCAGCGAATCTATCAAACGGATGGGTTTGCAAAACATGAATCATTTTAATGAATCGCGAAATGATTCATTAAAATGATTCAAACGACTCACTCGGACACTGAATCGTTTGGAACGTTTTTTTTTTTTTTAACTGTAGAACAACAAACCGTTTAGAACACAATGAAATTAAACTTTACCTACAGAAAACTGGGCTAAACCTTTTTTACAGTCTATGGAATAAACCTTCAAATCTAATCTTGGCCGTCGTGAAAGACGAGGAGGGTCTTTGTGAAGATCAACTATACTGCAGGTAAAAATGTTTAGTAACGTTAGCCTATGTTACAAAATAACAAAAACGTACCATGGTATATCATGGATTTTTAGAATTGGTGTAGTCTACACTTGGAGAATCATGTTGTTACTATGCCTAATATACACGCAAATCATTCAGTAGGCTAATATAGGCCTATAAAAATATGGTAACGTTACATGTGTGTTAGAATCTGATACCCTTGAGTAGGCTCATCAATCAACGGTTATTTTGAGGTCAATTGTCGTTCTTTTCAGTTAAGTCATGATATGAAATTTATTTCTGTCCTAAAGGAAGGTTGTTTCTCAGTCTGTTGTTTGTTTGTACCAGACTTGTTTGTACTTGTGTTTTTTTTTGTTTTTTTTGTTTTTTGGTGGGTTGCATTGTGAGGTTATTGTGGTTCATTCATGATTTGTAGCTATTTATCATCAAAGTGAGCGGCATTAGGGAAATGGGAATGGAATTGTGGGGAACAAGAGCATCCTGTGGTTATCAGAGGAGATTATGAGTAGAAGATTCACAATAGAGTCAAAATATGTGAAATTATATAAATGTGCTCCAGGCAGGAAAATGTCAGGACAGTCTTTTTAGATTTGTTAAATATTACTGAAAAAATATTTGATGTGGTTGGTCTTCATCATCTAAGACCGCATAAATATTTGGTCTGGATCTGGGCCTGGTTTACAAGAAGGCAGTCGGACTTCCAGCATAGTGAAGGTTTTAATGACCTAGTCTGTGTGTATCTTTTGAGGACCTCACAGGCATGAAACAGAAGTTGCAATAGTCTTTTCTTCCCTATAGTGACGTTTATCCAACAGCTTCTCGAACAAGAAAAAATGTAGAGCGCCTGTAAACACGTCATCAGAGAATTGATTTTGCTTCTAAAGGAAAGGGGATTTTTACAGGGCACGTTAATTATTCACACTGCGAATACTGCAATTTCACTTTAATTTCTTTTAAAATATAATTTGTTTTTAATTAGGCTCATAAGGCTTTTCTGTGGTCTGAACTCATCTTTGGAATGTTGCCATTTTTATTGATATTTGTGCTGATTTAGAAAGTTTTGCAATTCAGAGCTTAATTTCCAGGAGATATTTGTGACGTGATATAATTATCCCATTAACAGCAGAACTCGGCAGTAGAAACACATAAACGCTGACTTGCTCTCTCTTAAACTGATTAGGGACCACCGAACCCCACCCAAATCCCTGCAATATGATGTCATCACTGTCTCTTATACAAACCAGCTGTTTGCTTAAATGGCCTTTAGATACCAGCCAAATTTTTGCACGTGTGTACAGGAATGAAAGAGAGATGGAGTGAGAACATATGTGTGCATTTCATATCAAACAGAAACTCTTGAGTAAACAGCCCAGCAGCCAAATAAATGAAAAATCGCATCATATAGGTCCAAGGCACACAAAGACGAGGTCTCACTGGGGTAAAGTAGAAATGATTAGTGATCACATACATTTTCCAAAACTTTATTCCTATCACAAACATACATCAGTTTAACACAATGCTAGTACACCGATCCAAAACAAGACACCGGAATGTTAAAACAAAATATCATAGTTGAAATAAAGGACATGATATTCATATGTATATACTTTCCTATATTCGTATAATTTCATTTTCTTGTCAGTTTATTTCAAGAGATACTACTGTCACACTAGCATTCAATTTTGACACAACGGTTTAGTCAAGTCTTGTGTCAGAAATCTTGGGAAGAAGTGTGAACAAGATATGGGTTGAAAAATAGTGTAGACATGTTATTTTTGTCTACACATATTGTATAGTACACATTGTATTGGAGTGAATCTACTAAAACTAAAGGCGATGGGTAAACTCCAGGGTTTAATGGCTGCAACTAATTACGTACATTTATTTATGCCTAATGATTTATGTACAGTGTAGTATGCAGAGTAAAACAAACACACCCAAGAAAGTTAAAAAAATTAGGGCAGGTCATCCAAACGATTAAGTCAGTCATTCAGTCCATAAAGAATACATCTAAATGTCTAGAATAATAAAAAAAAAATATTACAAAAAGGGCATAATACTGGTTTACAAAGTACGGTGTAACTCAATCCAGAAATGTAAGATAATATTTAGCTGTCACCCTGAGTGCTAACGGGCTTTTCAGCATACCTAGTTTGTTGGATTTTACATTAAGGGTTGTTCGCAGCAATGAAATAGAGTTCACGTGCACACTGATTTTTTTCATGCTCACCAACTCCACAAATCATTACTTTGTCATGCAATGATATTAACAAAATTATACAAGACTATTAACTAGTCAGATCATACTGTACACAAAGAAGAACATATAGCACATTTCATAAGTCTAGAAACACACAAACAACCCAAAGCAAACAAAAACACAACTCGTGCCCATTAGATTCAGAGAGTTTCTTTATGGTGTGACACACTCAGCTGGAAGCTTTAGAGCGCTGGGACAGGAGCACGGATCCTCCCGGTGTAATGTTCCACTTCCAGCCATGGCTACTCTTATGGAAGCCAACAATGACTCATGGGAAAGGGTCCCCACCCCACAGTAGTGTTATAAAGTACTCAAGAGTTGCGCTTCTTGGACTAAAACGATTTTTGTTTCATCATATTTTGATGGTCTTGTTATAAATCATCACTGTCATAACTGGCATTTTACAACTTTCATAACATCACAACAATCTTTCATATATAGCATTCAAGCATTGCCTTTTATTTTGCTAGATAAGGAGGATTACTTGACCAGTTGTTTTTATCTTATATAATTGTATGCCATACTTTGATTCAAACGTGTTTACTTATTCTGTATGACTTTAAATGAAACATTCTGCATCATATTTACATGTAAATGTGGGAATTTGAGTCTTTGTTTCCCTCGTGCCTTCTGACGGCCAAGGTCAATATGCAGTAGATTGAGTTGGGTTTAAGAAGCAGGAACTGAGCGTTTCCCCCAGACCTTCGTTGGCAGAACGGCTCATTCACAGCTCCGTGTCTGCAGTTTTGGTGGTCGAGTGGCCATTGGTGGCAGCAGGGGGAGTTTGGGGCTTCACTGCTTCTTGTGACTCTCCATTAAGACTTGGCTTCTCCTGGGGCTCGGGTTGGTTCAGAGGGGCCACAGACACCAGAGTGTTGCCCTGGTTTTCCTCGTCAGCCATGTAAGACTCCTCAGCCTGTAGGAAAACATGATACAAACAGATTTTACTTTTTATTTCTGCTATTTATCATTATTTGTGCCCTGCAGAAGTGTGCTTTCTGCACCTTGTGGTGCCATCATTGTGGATTTTCATTGAGGACTTTTGTAAATCAGCACTTAATGAGCAAGATCCTTGAAATAAGGTCGCTGTGGACCTTATTTCTTGGAGCAGAATATGAAAACTGCAATAAAATATTTTTTATTTTATGGAATATACTTCATGATGCATCTTCAAAGCTAAAGCATTCATTGAGCAGCATCTGGCTTATGAAATCCTAGCCTGTGAATGTAGGCTATGTTATTTTTAATTATTATTCCTCTTTTTGAGGTCCGATGGAGTACACTTTGTTTCAATTTCACAATTTGACATCATTTAGCAGAGAAGGAAAACAGCGTAGAACTATTGGCTAGGAGATGAAACAGTTTGTTTCATTTGCAAGTGTTGTGGTTCTGAACATTAGATTGGGCGTGTGCTGGAGGAACTGCGATGTACTGATATGCTGCCAATTGTTTCTATCTTAATTACAAGCTTGGCAACACTTCTTTACCAAATACGCTAAACTTTGCAATTAAAATGATTGCATAACACATTCAAAATGGGAATTTGATCGAGAACACTTGGTGGTGGAGAAACAGTTGTTGTAGTCATCAATTTGGAAAAGCAGGAAATGAGTGCATGTTTAAATTTGCTTTAAAGATTCGCTTGGGGTTGCTATTAAGGATGTGACAATTAGTAAGGATATTACAGTTATTCTGCCATTTATTTGGGGACTCACCAGTTTCATGCCTTTGCCGTTGGATCGGCGATGGGACTTGAAGTAGTATATGCCAACTATTAGGGCAGCAAGCAGTAAGCCGGTCACCAGCACAGACACGAAAACTGCAGGAGAAGACCCAGAGGCCGTGTCTTCTTCTGTCTTTTTTTCCGGCTGTAGAGAAATGCATAAACACCAAGAGGTTAACATAATCAGAGGGATTTGAACATTGTGTAGATTCAACAGCATTTTGAGTCATAATTTGTATTTGATGATCAAGGGATGTTGATTTAGTATGGGTGTTGCTTTTTTTGTGTGTGTTTTTTTTTTGTCGTAGGACGTTGGTACTACCAACCGATATTAGTAGGTAGGGGATATTTATTTGTGCATTTATTTGTTTTTACATTTTACTTGGAAGTCAATGGTGCCCATCAACAGTTTGTTTACCAACATTCTTCAAAATATCTACTTTTGTGTTGAGCATGAGAAAGAAATTCATTATAACATAAGATTGGTTAATGGAGTAGTTCACTTTTTAAAAAACTGTTGCTGATAATTTACTCACCCCCATATCATCCAAGATGTCCTCGTCATTCTTTCTTCAGTCGAAAATAAATTAAGTTTTTGATGAAAACATTCCAGGATTTTTCTCCATATAATGCACTTTAATGGGAACCAAACGGTTCAATGTCCAAAAGACGGTTTCAGTGCAAACTGCAAACTGTTCAAGCGGCTTAAAACGATGCCAGGTGATGAATAAGGGTCTTATCAAGCAAAACGATCGCTCATTTAAAAAAAATTAACAAAATGTTTAAGTTT